TTGTTGTTTTTTTTTTTTTTTTTTTTTTTTTTTTTTTTTTTTTTTTTTTGCGGCTGCAGGTAAATTGAAATTCTATAATGGTGAGTGGGAAGCGACCTTATGGTCAGAGGGACAACAATGGAGACAATAAGAGCCACAGGAGACGGATTACCGACCAAGATGACTGGGTTAGTGATGAACTGGTCGTTTACCGAATACTGTGCCCTGATGAGGTCATTGGAAGTGTTATTGGTAAGAGTGGTAAAGTGATAAACTCAATAAGACAAGAAACAAGGGCAAAGATTAAGGTGGTTGATCCATTTCCTGGTGCCAAGGACCGTGTTATAACAATATTCTGCTTTGTCAAGGATAAGGAGGATGTGGACATTGATGATGAGTTCAATGACAGACAAACATTATGTGCAGCCCAGGATGCTCTTCTTAAAATTCATGCTGCTATTTCCAATGCGCTGGCTTCTGCTGGAGATTTAGACAGGAATCTGAGGGATAAGGAACAATGCCAAGTTCTCATCCCTTCGAGCCAATCTGCTAATGTCATTGGTAAAGCAGGATCAACTATTAAAAAGCTTAGAAGCAAGACAAGGACCAGTATAAGAATCATCCCCAAGGATGCCTCTGATCCAATTCACTCATGTGCCATGGAATTTGACAATTTCGTCATGGTTTGTTCACTTGGCTCTCTTTCCAATTTTTATTTAATATCACTGTTGATATTATGTAACTCCAATGTGATATATCCATCCGTATTTTTCATGTGAACTAATTAATCATCACTTTTGATATTGTTGTGTAGCATTTTTTATATGTTCATCATGCTTCAAACGTTGAATCCCGAATGGACGTTTCTGTTCCAATAATTTTGTGGTGCTGTTTGCTGATCTCAATACTATTTTTTTTTTCTTTTAATTAGATAGCTGGTGAACCTGATGGAGTAAGACGGGCTCTATTTGCAATATCTTCAATTATGTATAAGTTCCCTCCTAGAGAAGAGATTCCTCTTGATACAAATGTAAATGAAGCCCCTCCTAGTATAATTATCCCGTCAGATGTTCCTCTGTATTCAACAGGTGGACTATATCCAAGTGCAGATCCCATTCTTCCTCCCAGATCTATTCCGCCTATGCTTGGTGCCCAACATGTCCAGGATCTTCATGATTACCCTGATACTGGGAATGCATGGCCTCTCTATTCATCTGCTCTTCCTATGGTTTCTAGTATTAGCAGTCATCCTCCATCGGAGGAATTGGTGATTAGATTATTATGCCCCCTTGATAACATTGGCCGTGTCATTGGTAAGGGTGGGGGTACCATTAAAAGCATAAGGCAAGCTAGTGGCGCTTGTGTGGAAGTTGATGATTCCAAGCGTGATTGTGATGAATGCTTAATCACTATCTCGTCATTTGAGGTACTATCACTTCTTTCATAATAGACAAAAAGAGTTCTATTCATCCAATGTCTTTGATTGCATGTTGGTCTTCTATATACCATTTTGAAGGTGGGCTTATTTGCAGAATTTGGAATAACGTCAAAACATGAATATGCACAATTCTACAGTGGTTTCAAAATTTGAAAAGTGTTTTTCATAATGTTATTGCAAAACGAACATGAAAGAATGGGAACTGACATTCTACATATCAAACGTAGTAGAATTCCAGAATAAATTTCCATTCAGGAAAAAAGAAGATTTGACCTCTCACTTGTACGTTACCCTTTGTCTTATCTGAAATATTGGCATGATATTCAACTTAAGTCGTCAAACAATTTGTAACATGATATTCAACTTGCTTACTATGTGTGGAGCATTAGCTTGCTGTTTGGTTCTTTTATTTGCATTCTCATTCATGTTGGAACCGATTATTTATTTTAAATAATACATTGATGATCTTGATTTTTCACGTCTTTTTTCAGTCTTTGGATGATCTGAAATCAATGGCCGTTGAAACTGTGTTATTGCTGCAAGAGAAGATTAATGATGATGAAGGTGGAATGGTGATCATGCGATTACTTGTTCCATCTAAAGTTATTGGTTGTATTATTGGAAAAAGTGGTTCAATCATCAATGAGATTCGGAAGTCATCTAGAGCTGATATCCGTATTTCTAAGGGTGACAAAATTAAGTGTGCTGCTGCCAATGATGAACTTGTTGAGGTTTGCTTTATGAATGTTAATTAGTCCTGAATGCTTTATGCAGTTTTTCTTACTTTGCACTTTTTATTTTTTAATGTATTTTTGCAGGTAACTGGTAATGTTGGCAGTGTGAGAGATGCATTGGTCCAGATCGTGTTAAGGCTTCGTGATGATGCTTTGAAAGAGAGGGATGTTGGTCATAACCTTGCTGTCGGTACTGATTCCATGTATTCATCTGGTTCCAGTTTTTCGATGCCATCTGTATTGCCTTCTGTTTCTCCTGGTGCTCCACCAATGGGCTATGACCAGAGGGCTGAAAGTGGAAGCGGTTTAGGCGCTCTCTCTTCAAGTAGCATATATGGATATGGTTCACTGTCGGTAGGTGTCATAGGCGAACTTTTATTGATTGCAGCACATCAGTACCTTTCTTTTTGCAAACAGTAATAGAATCGTTACTCAAGTCTTTTTTGAAAAACACAATTGCTTAGTACCAATTAGACGATGAGGTCAACATTTGTCAAAATGCGATGATTGAGAGAGATGACCAGCTTCAACTTCGATATGGGTATCTGTGTTTTTATCTTTTTGGGAGAGAGAAAGATCATTTATTATCGTTATCTGTGGTGTATATCTTTCTGGTGATATTGAAGGGATTTATTTATTCCACTTTCTGATCTTTTCTGGCATATTAAAACCTTTTTGTACTTGTATCAGATGGGAGACAATGGCTATGGATCCATGCCCTCATATTCATCCAAGTTGTATGGAGGGTCAGTGTCCACCTTATTTTATTTAAAAATGCGACATGTTTTTGTTGTTTAATTTATTTAGTTGATGTATCAAATTGTAAGCAACATGTTTACATTTATTGTTTTTATGTGTAGGCTGCCTCCTCCATCTTCTCTTGAGATGTTGATCCCAGCAAATGCCGCTGGTAAAGTTATTGGAAAAGGAGGGGCTAATATCGCCAACATTAGGAAGGTTGGTTTATTTGCTGTCTTCATTTTACAATTATTCATATTCTTTCAATTTTTCACGACTATTTTTGTGTGAAGATGCTAGGTAAATTCAAGGAATGTTTTTTTTTTTTTTTTTCTTTTTTTAATCACATATTTCTTACATCGGTCAATTGGAAAACAGTTCTAATGTCACACCAAGTATATGTACATGTATGATGAAAAAGTGAAAGATTTCCCTGTTCTCCAATCTCCCACTTGGATAGTATTTATTTTCTTTTTTTCATTTTTAGGTTTTAGATTTTCTTACAGAGGATGTGGAACTTTTTTCTCCTGTTGTTCTGAAGACTCTGCTTTCTAAGAAGCAGAGATGTGCCGTAGCATGATATGCTTTGTGATGCATCAGTTGTTAAAATTTTAGGTTATCAGATGAATTAAGTTGAGTAAAGCTATTAGAATAGAAAGATGTTGATTGTTAAAAACCTTACATCATTACATTAGTATGCTTGAAAGATTGGAATTTGTAAAAATATACTCAATGTGCTTCAATAATAACTAAATTTGAATTTTCTGTTGTTTTAATGTCTTAATGTTAGAAAATAGCCTTTTCTCTTCTCCATGACACATATCACGTTTGTTCTCTCGCATATTTCTTAGACTTTTAGATTGTTTGGAAAAGCTTTTGGGATTAGTGAAACACTTTTACCACATCCAATGCTTATTCTTATTCTTTAGAATAGAAAGATGTACCCTTGCAATGCTTATTCTTTTGTCATGTGGCATTTTTGAGTAGTGAGTGTATAACATTCTTGTTCATTGTTCAGATATCAGGAGCGCTGATAGAGATTTCAGACTCTAAGTCATCTCGAGGTGATCGTATTGCTCTTATATCTGGTACATCTGAACAGAAGCGCACAGCTGAAAACTTGATTCAGGCATTTATAATGGCTACATGAGAAGGAAGATGACCTTATGTTTGAAGGTTACTAGATGTAAATCTTCCATTTCAGTTCATCCTCTGTAGATCTCCCTAGGTTCAGTTCTGGAGAGGGTACCTCTTCTCACATTCAAGTTCTTGAGTTTTTTTCCCCATTAAATGCTTGTCAGGATGAAATGGGAGGACCTACAGCTGGTTCATATCTAGGGTTCCTAGAGCTTTTGTTTCTTAATCTATTCTTCTGTGGATTCTTAGAACGTATAGGATCTTTCCTTTCGTACTTGTATATCTGGCCATATCTTTTATCAGCTGGGATTTCATCTCATTTCCAATGCTGTCGTACTCACATTATATGATGATTATGCCAGATGGGTTCCAGTATGGTCGTTATTCTCAATCTTATAACTGTGTGCGATATTTTTCTGTCCATTCTATCTCCTACTCAGTTTCTTGGTGGAAGAAGTTCTCAAGCATTGATCATTATTCTCAATGCAGTTGGTATTGCTCTTGCCTATTATAGATCTTTATAACTATGACAAGTCACCTCAATAGAAGAGATTATTTCCAGAACTAACTGAAGTTTTCATCAAAGAAGTTTCTATTTTGATTCCTTGTTCTGTACTTCATGTCACGGTTCCTACTATCTCAGTAGGTAAGTGCTAAATAGCATCATAAACTCTGTTTTCTTACCTCTGTTTGATATTTTGCCTTCCCTCATGTCCTTTGTTTAATAGCCAACTGTGAAAAATTCCATAATATATGCTGAGCTGGGCCTGAAATTCCTTGGACATGAGAAGGTTCACTCCCTGAATACTGATTCCCTAATAATATGCTGATTCCATTTTCTTGTGAGAATTATTTTTAGAGCATTCTCATTGGGAGAAGCAAGGGGGTTTGGTGCTCTTCACTTCTGGAGGGAAGTTTAGCCCAATGTCTTAGGTGGATGTGAAAGAGAGATGCTTGGCATTGGTTCTACCTTTCTACAGTAATTCCACACTTACCAGAAAACAAGTGCCTGTACAGTATGGAACATTTTTCAAAAATCGTTTTAAAAATGTTTTTCCGTAATGTTCTCAAAGTTGTAATTTGGAAGAATCTCGTCTTTGTTTCTTTCAATTTTTATCTCTCAAGAACATGATAAAAGTTATTATCTTTTTTACACTTCTTTTTATTTGAAACAAAAATATATTCCAAACAGGAAAACAACCTATTAACAAATTTTTAACCGCATACAAGCACATGTATACCTGATTTTTTTTCTTTTCAAAACACAACTTTTATCCGCTAACTTTGTCCTTGTTTCCAATTCCTTTTGTAATCACTCTTTTACTGTAGTAGTCCATCGTAGAGCTTTCACGTGCAACTCAATCCCTCTCTTATGTTCTCTTTTGGTCTACTTCATTATTCTAATGACATTGTTCTATTTCCTAGCCAATAAAATTACTAATTTCAAAGAGGAATTACTGAAGGATGAGTGGTTAGGCTTACTCCATTAGGGTATGTAAGAGATACAGTAAAATGTTTCCATGCCCTAGATCATCTTGTGTAGATTCTTTGATGCCTTCTAAGAATTTTTCCTGTGGGAATGTTTTTTAACATTCATATCAGTATCATGCAAAGAAATTAAATGACTGCATGAGAGTAAACCTAACCAATCGAAGTTTGAAGTTTCTTCCTCTTTTATCGTAGTTGATGGCACAATAGCTTCTCTCCTGAATTGATTATATCAAATTATCTCATTTGTGATTTTCTAATATGTGCCATCTTCCATGTTGACAATTTGAGTTTGCACTCTAGAGCCAAAAAGTTGGCCCTATCTTGATATTAACTTCCATCTTACCCTTCCCCCTCTGCTACCATATTTGATTGAGCCTTAGGAAGATCTGCTATATTTAGTTTCTAGTGAACTTGACGTTATGGTGATGGGATTTTCCACCCTCCTGTATCTAGTTCCTGGTGCAAGATCTGCTGCCTTTGTACATTGCTGAAGATTGATAATCACTTGATCACTAGGCTGTTTTCATTAAGCATTGATGGTGTAATTCTTGCATATATTTTCCTCCATGTTAAAATTAGGATGTCTGATATTTTGCCCTGGACTTGGGAAAATGCAGCGCATTAAAACCTATAGTTGCTTGTGCTATACTGGATTCTTCTTTCTCTTTGATGTCTTAGCACTACATTCTATTCTCTTCCTTGGCCAGTCCTACATAAATAGTAACTTCAGCAGTGGGAACTCTCGGCCACAGTGCATAAATACTTATCTCACTTATGATCTGCTGCCCTCTGATGTATAGTGACAGCTTTCTTTTACTAGTTAACTGGAAGCCTCACAAGTATAGTTTCCCTCTGTTATGTCTATCCTCTAGCTTTCTATTGTGGTGAATGAAACCCCGTTGCATCGCATCGTGACTTACTGCAGCCTATGTTAGCTAGTTTATGGTCCAACTGCTGGAATGCTTTTTTGGCGTTTCATCAACAAACCTCTAGTTATGTGGCTACTCCCTGCCCTTTATTATTATTATGTGGTTAGAATTCTATTATGCCCTTTTTCAAAGTCTGAATATGAAGGGGATAGAAAGGTATGTCAAATAGGATGACATTGGATGAAAATGTGATTGTTGTTAAGAGGTAGAGACTTAGAAAAATGTGTAGCAAAATGTAGTCATGGATTAATCTATGGATGTGGATCATGTTGTTGGACCCTTGTGAATGATCTTAGCTCATAGTGTTTTTTGTTTAAATTATGAAGTAAATGTAGCATTATTTTGTTTAGATTGAAATTGCCCACTTGCATTTGATTGAAGGATAAAGGCAGAGGAATAATCATCTCTGAATCCGTTCTTTTGTATTTAGAGGAAATTCTTTAAATTTGTGAGAAATCACTGAGGAGCAAAAGCTAGGCACTCTCTTGTTGGTTTAACATGTCAGGGTAGAGGAATCTGAATCTCTAACATTTTGGTTTATAATATCTTTTGAACACGCATATATGTCTTGAGTTATTTATCTTCAGGGTTGGTAGGTGCTTACCACTAAGTTGTAGGATGAATGATGTATAGTGTAGCCAGAAAAGGGCAGGTAAACTACATTGCTTGAAATTGTTGGATCATGTTCTTCTTGCTTTATTGCTGATTATTAGTTATTTAAACCACAGTTTTAGCTTTCAAAGAACAGGAAAATTGTGCCTGAGATAAATTAGTGGGTTCATTCATATATATTTCTACAGATCATGGCCTCTTATGAATTTGATTTTTCTTACCCTATGTTCTTAAAATGTTTCAAATCTCATGTTTTAGTTTAGAAGAAAGTGAGGCATTATGGTTAGCATTTTTTCTTTTCTTCGTAATAATGGAGTAAAGCTTAGGAACTTTAGAAAATTTGTCCATATTTGCTTTTTTGCTTTTTTTCCCCATAAAGTATTTGCTTAAATGTTCATCTATTTCTTGATTTTGAGGTAAGATGGGTAAGTTCCAGAATTTTTTAGAAGCCATCCCATTATTATTCAATATCTTATAGTTTAATTGATAATTAAATTGCCAATTAATTTTGTAGGCAAGAAAATTAATTAGTTAATTTTGTGGTTAATGGTTTGAACAATAATTGTATGCTTATATGGTTGTCTATCCATGGTCGAGGAATTTAAGGCCAGCCCCCAAATCATTTATTGCCTTTAAATTTTACCTTTCTTCATTTAATTAGTTTCATTAACAAAAAGTCCATTTTTCTTATTTTATGATCTAATATTCAGATTAACATCTGTTTAGATAAATTAGCTCAAATCTGGTACGTGAAGAAAAATTTATAGTTTTATTGTCACGTGAAAACTAATCCACACTATTATTCATAAAATAATAAATCAGTCAAATGATGTGGTCGGGTGTTTATTTATTTATTTCTGCTAGAAACAACTTTATATTATTTTCCATCATCTTGTTCCCACATGTTTCCTCTTATTATAATATGAAGGTAATATAATAATAAATAATAGTAATAAGATATATTGGTTTGGTGGGTAATTTTGAGTGATTTGTTGTGGTTGATTCATAATTGCAAGCATTTATTGGTAAATTAGTTAAATTAGTTGAGATTAGTTGAAGATTTGATTAGACTTCTTAATTAGTTGAAATTAGTAAAAAATATGTTTTTCTTTTTTGTTTGTTTAATTTTATAGTTTGTTGAATTGTGAAATGAGGAATATGTTTTCTTTTTAATAATATTAAAAAAGTTAACAAAATCGTGGATCGATCTCATCCCACCATTTTCTATCTCTCTCCTCTGACATATAAAATTAGGGTTTCATCCATTTCACTCTCTCTCTCTCTCTCTGTTGCCAAAGCTCCGATCATGTTCTTGCCGTCCGTTTCAGAAACTGACTCATCTCTTTGTTCCGGAGCTTTTCATTTTTCAGTTTCCTTTATTCTGATCTGAGCGATATCGGTTGTTCACTCTGAGCCATGTCCTGTTCTTATCTACGCCTCGATCCGACCAGAATTTGCTCCTCACAGGACGGCGTTTTTGGCCAGAGCTACAGCCATTGTAGCTACCCTAGTGATCACTTTGATCGTCTCCCCGACTCTCTGCTTCTGCTGATTTTCAATAGGATTGGTGACGTTAAGGCTCTTGGACGTTGTTGTGCAGTTTCTCGAAGATTCCAATCTATCGTGTCTCAGGTTGATAACGTAGTTGTACGAGTTGACTGTGTGATATCCGATGATGATTTCTCCTCCGCCTCTTCGTCTTCTGATAAGTCTCGGAGTGGCTTTTCTAATCTGTTCCGTATGGTTCTTGGAGGCATTGTCAAGCCGCTTCAAGCTCTAGGCCAGTTCTTGGGTCCGAAACGGGTCACATCCTCTGGGTTGGGTTCCGCTTCGTCTTCTTTGTCGACCTCTTCGCTTTCGGTTGGGAGGGAAAAAGATGGGGAGAGTGGTCAAAATGGTGTGACTCATCACTCGCCCACCCAAGTTCTTAAGAATTTTAACGAAATTCGATTCCTTCGAATCGAGCTTCCTAGCGGCGAATTGGGTATTGACGACGGCATTTTGTTGAAATGGCGAGCTGATTTCGGATCAACTTTGGATAATTGTGTGATCCTGGGTGCTGCATCGGTGGTTCACGCTGGGTCTTTTAGTAAGAACATGCAAGAAAATGGAACTGATGGGTTCTGCTCTGGAAATGGTGCAGCAGCTGATGACAGCGGGAGCATACCCGAATCGTTTTATACTAATGGAGGGCTAAAATTGAGAGTTGTTTGGACGATTAGCTCACTAATTGCGGCTTCGGCGAGGCATTATTTACTGCAGCCGATAATTGCGGAGCATAAGACTCTGGACAATTTAGTTCTGACTGACGCAGATGGACAGGGTATGTTGTGTATGAACAAGGATCAGCTTGAAGAGTTGAGAGTAAAGCCCTTGTCGGCTTCAACTGCCTCTAAGAGAACGCTTGTTCCAGCCCTGAATATGAGGCTTTGGTATGCGCCTCACTTGGAATTGCCTGGTGGGATTATTCTGAAGGGGGCAACTCTTGTTGCGATACATCCAAGCGAGCAGTCGATGACAAAGAAAGAGGTATCTGATGGGTCATGGCTTTCAAAGGCTTTTGAGGAACCTTATGCAACCGCTGCAAAGATGCTGGTGAAAAGGAGAACTTACTGTCTTGAGATGAATTCTTTCTGAAACTTCAACTGGATTTGAGGTAAACCTCTTTTCAAATTAATAAAAATATAGTTATTAATTTACTAAGTTTGTTAAAGAACCTGACCAATCAATCACTACCGTTCGTGTTGAATAATTATGTTCTACGATTCTCTGATATTTAAAATCGTGCGGGTAAGCTTCGATATTTTTTCTTTAAAAAACTATATTGCAATTTGTTGGGAGACATGTTCTCATAATCTGGACGTTGACTTGGCAAAGTTGTTAGTTATAGATGCGATTTTACAACGTGAGGATGCTGTATATAATCCAATCGAAGTATGAAGTCTTTTCCCCATGATTCTTATTTTCTATTTGTACATGTTGTCCATGCCCCTCGTCTTCAATCGAAGTACGAAGTCGTTTCCCCATGATTTTTAGTACAGGGTAGTATCACCATTCTTCTTCAATGTAAGGAGTTAGTTAGTTCAAAATGGCTTGTCTTACAATTTCTACATTCTGCTTTCATTTCATTCACTTGTTTACCATTTTAAATTCTTGTGCCCAATCAGCAGAAGAGTGGAATCCAGATAATGGGAAGATTGATAGTGAGGGGAGTACATCTGGTTTCATGCATCACCAAATTGGCAAGTCTGAGGAAGCCTAATCAAACGGCAGCAGGCTCAGCTATCCAAGGTTGATTTTGGATTTTGAAGAATGGGCGACTTCTGCTTGAACAAGAGAGATAATTGAAACTCTTCTCTACTTGGCCTTTGGTCGATAATACTATTTGCAAAGTGCAAAAAATACAAATAGAGATGATGTTGTAAAAGCCCTTGTTGTAGTGTTTTGTTTCTTATATGTGAATATGATGTAGTTCTATTCTATCAAGCAATTGCATCCTTATGAATTGATTGCAGCCCTTAATGTCATAGACACATTGCATTGCAGCTTCTCTCCTTACACTGTTAATCCGTTTAGTAGTTGATGAATTTAGTAGAAATGCTCGTATCGTGAACCTTAGAGCTTTGGTGAACTTTGCAAAAAATGTTATCCATTATAATCTAACAGAACATGCACTATCAAATTATCGGTTCAGTTTCATAATCTTAATGACCCTTCTCGCTGAATCATTTAGCAACCTTCAATTTGATATTAGAAGGAACCAACACTTTCTGGATCGAAATGGACTTCGTCTGAAACACGAATTTCTTCCTTTTAAGCTAAATGTCCTATCAGATTTTGAACGACAAACGAGAAGGGTTCAATAAAAGAGAAAGAGACTTGTCAAATAACTACCAAAAATCATGGACACCCAATCAGGATTAGTTGAACCATTAAAGATCGAAAGCTTAGTGAATGTAGTACCGACCAGTTGCAACTTTTAGATGCAAAATTATGGACAGCGAACAAGAGAGGACTTTGGGATGCAAAGGTTTAAAAGAGGGGGCGCTGTTGAGTGTTTATCCATTGCGGGTTTGGGAATGATTTATTGCAGAGAGAGAGTGAGAGTGAGAGTGACTTGAATCTTTTGCACATTATGGGTTTTGAAAGGGAGATTTGGGAGGGCCCGGAGACGCTAATCTCTCCTATTTTGATAGCCAGATATACTGTTAGGTGGAGTATTGTGTGGGCAAACATGCAAAACCATTAAGTTTGATAGCAATTACCTGCTTCTTCCCATGCTGCTCTGCTTCTTCCCATGCTGCTCTGCTTCTTAACTGTTGATCCATGATGCTTACTGTTTTTCAAACCCTGTGCCTGCAAGCAAAAGACAGATGAATGTTTTGGCCATTTCCTTCAGCCACACATGTTTAGTGTTCATTATACATTAAACCCAGACGTGAACGTTGGTAAAGACTCTAAACAAGGCCAAAAATAGATTGAGTTCTACAACAGGAGAGTTCATCTGTAAAATACACAAGTCCATAAAAATGTGTATTAAGCACATTTCATCAAATTGTTTGTAGCTGAAGTGTTTCTTTATTTATTTATTAAATATCGAAGCCAAGCAACTCAACTATGGCTTCTATCGTTCTGAGGTTGCTATTCGGCTTATTCAATCTCAGCACATTCTATAGCTATTCCATTTCAGATTTTTGGGGTTTCAATACTAAACTTATCAAAACGATTGCTTCCTAAAAAAGTTTGTTTTGTTATTCATTACCAATGGTTTATAAAAAATTGAGTCAAATTTTGAAAACTAAAAGATAGTAACTTAGAAATTTTAAAAATAGAAAATTAAAAACAAAATCCAACTATCTTCCAGAAAAGCACACATATTAATCAAGATTACGAAAGGAAAACGTTTTTTTTACGATGGGATTTTTATTCCAACAAGAAGGCAATACAAAACAGATCCACAAATGAAGGGGAAAATTATACGGGAAAAACTGCTAGTGCTCAAAACACTGCACACAACAGCTATCAAAGCAAGGCTATCAAAAGATTTAAACACCACATGTGAAACAATAAGGGAAATTACAATCAAAACTTGGAAAAGAATTCTCCAGACAGCAAATACTTTGTGCTTTAAATTCAGACCTCTCCTGTGCAGCAACCAAATAACAGAACCAACAGAGTTGAACAGTACCTGCCTCAGCTTCTACTCACTCTTCCTTCTTGCGCTTTCATATTCCTATGATTCAAACATTATTTTCATTATGCCTTTTGGTTGCTTTTCTTCTTGGTAAGTAGAAAATAGGAAAGCTTGTAATATGCAATCAGAAACAAGACACGGGGAAGGTCCACAAGTTAAAAGAGATCTAGCAGCTTTCTAAGTAACCACTTCAAGTCGTCTCTAAAATGCTATATTGGAGACTATATTCAATTCTTCTAAATAGATCCAACCACAGGATATATGAACAAGTAACCGCTTCAAGGCAAAGTGTCTAATCAACCAATTCTAATTTATTATTCTATCGGTCCAGTTTATTGAAATGGAGCAGTCCACAAATCAATGAACTCAATTCTTCAATTGCAGCATAAGGAAACGTATATCTGTCCTGATATCCCACCTTAATAGTCGTTCTAAGTGGCTATTCGATGTTAGTGACTAGCATGAATCAAGTTGAAGAAGTTAGGTAAATGGGACGTCTATTCCTAATGCAGCCCTTCATGAACAAGAGCCTACAGATAGGAGAAAATTGAACAGTCTTGGGCTCCTGAGAAAATTCAATAGACTGGATATCACTACAGATAACTCCAGAACTACGCCTTTCACATGAAACCACAGGTTTTGTCAAAGAAATTTGAAAACATATTTTTTGTATTATTCTTCATAGTCTTTGAATAGCATCCTGAAAGCATCAATCAGCTCTCCTAGCATACTCAACCCTCGAAGAAGCATTGTTACTATTACATCCTACACTGCTTGGTTGAACCACCCCCTCTAAGTAACATGTTATGTAGTTTCTTCATGACACAAATTGTGCTAATTCCACAGCACATTTTAAGCTTGACACGATATATCAAGCTCGACTGACAACAATTGCCAAGGATTACAAAACTCCATTGACGACTCATTCCGAATCCCTTTTCATTATTATGTTGGGGCATGTTACAGTCCACCATTTCTACCTGCGAAAGTTAAGGATTGTGTCGTCTGTCAAATTACCTACTCATCTATAGCTTCTTCCTCACTTTAGAGTTAAAGTAGCTTTGATGTTGGAGTGAATCCAACTACCCAACACCTCATTCTTTCTTTTCAGGTTTCAGATAATTGACCATGTTTCAAAGAACCACGCTATTAAACACAGGGTCAGGGTCAGGGCCAAGGTCGAGGTTTAACTTTTAATAGGAAGGAGCCGAGAAATTCTTTAACATCAATAATTTATACAATTTGGTTATGGTTCCAATATATTATGCTTCTTTTAATCTTTTGTTCCATATCAAACGAGAAGATTAAGAAACTATAGATTTTCTCCTATGTTTAGCATTACTCTGACCTGTTCTATAATTCGAGTATTACATATATTTCTTCTCTCCTATGATTTTTCCGTTTGGACGGACATGATCTTTCAAAATTATTCTGGAATAAAAGACTTGTTCGCATAGAATATTAATTAGAACTTCAGTAATTTTATAATATCAACCCCCATGATTACTGATCAACTCAAGTTGTTGATGAGCAAACTTGGTTAGAATATTATTTCTTAATGTAACAAAAGTACCCAAAAAAAAAAGTTTCTAGGCATCCCATCTCCCCAACAGTCCATCTTGAGCTTGCTTAAGTCTTTAGGTACCGTCTCTTTCTCCCATTTGAACGTGCTTAGCTTAAATTTAAGAAATAGTACAAATAAACAATATATCTAAACCTAAACCTTAGACAAATACCTTCCATCGTCGAAGGGTCTAATCTCTAAATGCTGTTGAAATGTCCTTACAACAGGTTTGCTTGAACTTCCACAAACACTCACAAAAGGTTCATTAAAGATGTAAGCATGACCATTTAGAAAGTAAGATAGCATGCAAGCTATTTCTAGATAATCTGTTTTTTCTGAACAGCTGCACGTATAATATTACTCAAAAAATTGATAATAACATACTTAGCAGCATGGAGTTTCTTTATGAAAAAGAAAAAAGAAAATTAGGCTCCATGATCTATAATGCACTAAAGAAAAATCAAACTAATTGGTATGTATGATGCAACAACAAATTTATTATTTAATTAACAGGATTCCCTAATTTAAACCATATTCAAACGAGGAAACTTGACACCATTCATTTAATTAAAAGGAGAAAAAAAGAAGAGTTCAATTGAACTAGAATATTGGTGAATTTAACATAGTTTAGTCCAAATAACAATAACATGGCATTCTCCAATGAGGTTGAAATTCTTACCTTATTAACATTGCAATACTCAAATAAGAAAAAATAATAAATGTTATTAGTACAACCAAACTGTTACACCAAGTATTAGATAATTTACTCTAAAAGAAGTAAATACACTGTTAGATTGTATTTAAAATTAGTGAAAAGAACCACACACTCAGACATAAAGAACATTTCAATATACTAACATTAGAAAAAAAATATATATGTTGAGGAGACGACAACTATCAAGTTATGCATCAAACTTCTTTGGTTCATCACAAAAAAGGTGCAACTTCTATTTTTATTGGCCAAATATAACACTTCTTTTTTTTATATATAATTATTTTTCTAATAGCAGTGTCTTCAAAATTTGAGTTATGATACAAAGAAATATCTCATCAACTGTGATAACTGACGGTCAAAGCAAGACCACAAATTGATTTCAACTAATATGGAGTAAAATAATTAAAAATAGAGGTTTGTAAGTTTTTGTCATTTGCTGTTCTCTGTAGAAAGCAGTCATTTCTAAATCCATGTGTGTATGGAGCTTCTAGGGTATTAAGTCAGGTTGTCGTAATTCTCAAATTCAAATCCGAAGACAAAAGGAAAGAGCATTTGTTTCCCAAAGTCAAGACCTAATCTAACCATTCGAGAAGAGGCGCTAACATTAGCTGAGCCCGAGGTGTCAGCATTGCCAATTAACGGCCGTTTGTAAGTGGAAAGCGAAATCCGCTCCATTATTCAAGTGCGGTATTTCCACAAACTGAGTTACACATGGCACAGCGAATAGAAAGCCTAGCCCTTCTCGGCTCATGAGAAGAGAGGAGAGAAGCAACTTAGGTCACAGCCAACCGGACCCACTTCACAGCAATCGAAAAATTATTGGGTTTATTTTTTTATTTTTTATTTTTGAAACAATAACCAAACCTTGGCCCAATGCTCTACTTTTTTTGAAGTCTACGAAGAAATCAAGCAGCTAATGCAATTAACAATAACCCAAACGAAAAAGAAAAGGAAAAGAGAACCGTACGAAAAAAGAAAAAAAAAAGAGTACTGTTAAGTTTTGAAGCTTACCAGGAAGAAGATAGGCTGAGAGGAATATGCTGTACAAAGAGTTCATTTCTTTTCTTTTCCTTTCTGTTCCGACTGCCGGCTTCCGCCTCCATAGCAGAGTTGCAAACGACCGTCAAATGCAGGCGAAAACTGATAATGATGATGATTTTCCATTTGTGGAGCAGCCGAAGAAGTCGCCGCTCCGAAGAGGAAAGGTAAATTGGATCCGTCAACAGGAGAAAACCTCTGGATATGAGGCAAAAGTGATGAATTGGACTGAAGGGTCCCCCTATAATAACCCGGAAGGTTGGAAGCAATGGTGAAGTTGAGGTTGTAGTCGCTGCCACCCGCCGGTTGAGTTGTGGCCACGGGAATTATATTGCCATCGTGAACAAATGAGAAATGATGAAGCTGCTCCGCATTATTGTCACTAGCTGAGACGCTGCTAAATAATGGAGTGCTTGACATGGTTTGTGGCAACGGAGTTCCCAAATTCATTTGTTCGGAAAATCCCGAAGAGTGGTGAGTTCTAGAAGTGGACGACTCAAGAATTCCCGAGCTGAAGTAATCCATAGCAACGGTCGATGACTGCCACTGCCTTTCTACAGCCACGCCGGCGTCCCGATGAGCTGAAACCGTTGCAGCACCGCCAGAGAGTAGCTGGGTGAAAGATGAATTTGGGGCCATGGAGGTGAGATTATGATCGGCGATGCGAGAAGAGTCCTGTTCTTTTTCCTTTTCCTTTTGTGCTCTCTCCTTCGCCCTTTCGCGAGCTTTGAGGCGGTTCACGCGAACCTCAGATCGCGAGAGAGACAAACCTGAACCCTTACTGGTTTCGGAGTTACTACTGCAAGCAGATTTGGACAAGGAAACATGTAATTGGCTCTGATTCTGCTCGACTGGGTCTAACGACCGGGGTTGATCAGTGACACTAATCTTTTCCCCACTCAGCTGTTTTGGAGTTTCCGGAAAAGAGGCATTCAGCGAAGGCAACTCTGCTATTGCATCCGCGGCCGCTTTGATCAGCCACTCGATAGCCTTGCTTGGTTGATCAAAACCCAACCGATCTTGAAGATCGTAGAACTGAATCGCCGTCGCTACCGATAACCGAACCCTTCGATCTCTAAGTCCCTTTGAAGTCCACACCTTGCTATGCCTGTCCTTCCCGCCCGAAGCTTGAGAAACCCTAATAATCCGGGAGTGGTGCCATCCACGAAGCCGATTACCATCATCATCATCTCCTCCTACACCTCCACTGCCCACTAACGCGGTGCTACCACCAACCCTTTTTGATTCTTTGTCTTCTTCATCCTCCGGTTGAATGTTCTCAACCCCTTTTAATCCTATCTTATTGGAGTCGCTACTTCTGCCAGTTGCTAACCTTGGGAACTTGCGCGGTTGTTCTTGTATATTATCCACCACCTCCATAACACTTTCATTCCTCAACTACTCAAACAAAGATCCGTAAATGGAGACCCCTTTGACCCTTGGCAGATGCTTTTTATCCCACCTCTACAGAGAGAGAGAGAGAGAGAGAGGAGGGTGCAGGTCGTCTAGAGAGAGAAATAAGTAGGGCAGATGTTGAAATACGGCAGGGGCGGTGGTTGTATTCTGCACATATTGATGATGATAATTCAGAGAGTACCTCTTTACTTTGTGCTGTCTGTGTAGTAATTAAAAGGCCTTCTTTTACCCTTTGATATATCACAATCTTTAGTCAGCAGAGCAGGCAGCCCTTCCGTTCAAAACTCCCAAAAGTTCCCGAAATTGTGTGCTCTCCAGAGGCAAAAACCGCTGGTTATCTCAGACCTCTCAGCTTCGCTTCCTCCAGCCTGCAAGCCTCATCTTAAAACCTACAAAGAGAGAGAAGATGAGCTTAAAAGCGTTTTATTAAAGAAGATGAGCTTTTACAAATGTGTAAAATATCCATTTTAAAGAGAACCTCCAACTTCGGACCTTTTCACACCGTCTAATATGGCTTAATCTCACCTCCTTTCTTCGTATTCCTCTTTCGGTTTCAGAGCTTGGAAAACATTTTTGAAAGGAGAAAGTAGAGAAATAGAGCAAGAACTCACGGATCTGTGCTAACAAGACTCCCCTTGCGTAGTATTTAAAGCTTCATCTCTGGTCCTAAAAATGGCAGACAAAATACATTAACACGACAACTCTGAGAAATATTTTTTATTAAAAAAAATCAAAAGAAACCAACAAATTCATGTTTCCAAATTATCCACACTTGCACGAACAAGAAACTATTAAATTTATTAAACTGGAGGACAAGGTTGAGTCCGGAGAACGGATTACGCATACATCAATAATTCAGATGACAGGTGTTTATCACTGAGAGGCAAATCGCTAAACCTAGAATTTACATAACCTGGACAATTTTTTTTTGTTTAATTTCTTCAAATTACTCAGCTACATTCAAAACCCTTTGCAGATCTGCATTCCCTTGAACCGAAATTAACCACTGAAAGTAGAAATCATCTTCTTCGTGCTCAAAATTTTAGTTGAATAGAAAAACGAGAGACTAAAAACAAATTTCAACTATTCCATCGAAAAATCAAACAAAGAATACACAGTCACAAAACTGAAATTAAACCGTACAAATTTCCGAGCCTAGATTAGATTCACACTCATCTAGCTAGGTATCGTTCTCTAAACAACATATATACCTCGATTACAAGAAAGAGAAAAGCCCGCAAGCAGCTCAATCTCTCAAGCACTGACATGTAATTTTCTTCTCCTCGAACTGCAAGTAACACAAAAGTTTCAAATCACATCACGTATTGATACCAATAGATAAAAAGCTGAAATCACATTAAATCTTGATAGCAATAGACAAAATTTCAAAATCACATCACGTCTTGGTTCCAATAGATAAAAAGCTAAAATCAATAACCTCCAAGCTAAAATCACATCACGTCTTGATAGCAATAGACAAAATTTCAAATAAAAAATTGTGTGATGATACAAAGACAGCGGAATTTCGTAGAGAATAGAGAATATACGATGCCTGCGCTTCAAATCCTTGTGAAACAAAACGATCCAGTCTACAGTCCGGGAAGATAGTTGGAGCGGAACGGCGGGAAAATTGAGAGAGAAAAAGAAAGAGTTGAGAAATGAAAGCGAAGAACTGAAGAAAAGAAGAAGACAGTGAATAAGTGAAGGAGATATTTATTTATTTATTTATTTATTTTTTTTTGGTCACCGGACTTATCGGGAAAACTCCGACACTCCGCCGTTCCCTGCATTAAATATGCCCCCCATTCTTCTGGTTTTCTTTCCCCTAAAAACATTCAATAACATTAACCAATAATAAAGCAAATAAATTTAAATTTTCATATATTTGTAATGTTAATAATAATAATGTTATCAACATAATAAATCTTCATATATTTGTAATATTTAAAAAAAATAAAAATGAACAAGGAACTAGTAAAGATCATAAATTTAAATTTTCACGTCTCTATTGGTTGAATGACAAGTCGTGTTCGACTGTCTTTGAGTTGTGGAGTCGTCAGTTTGCATGGACGTTCCTAGTTTTAGTGTTGGAGAACTATTTTCCTTGGTATGGTAGCTCACACCACGGATAGGTTCATTATGGCTAGTTTGTGATGAGCCTAAATGAAGAGTATAGTCGTGTGGTTCTCGATTGAGTACTTCATGACTATTTTGGCCACGTGTTATGCATAATTTACCTCTGTTTGACCGATTATTTTTCTATGTCTCGTATGAAGATGGTAACGAGATGGAAAAAGTATAAAATTGAATATAGTTATACAAGGATGGACATTCTAATTATAGAGCAAAAAAGTGACACGAAAACTATATATTATACACGTAATAAATTTGTCATACCTAGATTGAGATGAATTGAAGGGTGATTATTAGGTTTGAAATCAATGTAGTGGTGGTATCGTAATTATGAGTGAAATGGAGGTCTGGTTGAGAAGAGCTAAAAAGGGAGCACTAAACTCCATGCTGTGCGTGGAGGAAAAAGATTCGTGTTTGTGTTATTTTTAATTTTAAAAAAAATGACTTCGTAATAGAGGAATTAGATATATAATTAGTTAATTAATTTAATTAAAAGTACTGGGAATGGGGATATTCCATATTTCATGTGGATATAGACTCCTGTCCGTACGACAAACGACATGTCTCGTTGCTTCCCTTATTTGCTGCATTGTACATAAGTATTGTTGTTCAAAATATATATATATATATATATTTTTTCTTGTTAGATAAATTGGGCGGGACAAGATTATATTTCTCCTTTTCCGCCCAATTTCTCACTAAATCTCGTTTAATATAAATATATTTTCCGCCCATCATTTATAGTTAATTTAAATTAAAAAATTAATATTAAAAATCAATTTTTTAAAATTATGTCAGTATTTTATGAAATTTATTGATTTATTAAACTTATTTTTTTAAATAAAATTTTGGATAGAAACTTAAAAATAATTTTTTTAAGAATAATAAATATATAAAATTATTGGCAAAAGGAATTCTATCCCTACCAAAATAAATGGAGAATTTTGGAGGTGGGCTTTTCCATTCTGCTCGACGGCAGACATCCCTAATCTAATCAACATGTTGAATTGTTTTTAAAAATAATGTTAAATCGTGTAATTTTTAATATTCACTTTAAAATATTAAATTTGGATTAATTTTGCGTTTTATTGTTTATAAAAATACTTCTGTAAAATTACAATATTACCTTTAGTATTGGAATATTTAAAATAACAAAATAGTTTTGGAAAGTAGAGTAATATTATAATTAATTTTAGAAAGATGAGAAAAGGTTATAAAATTAAGGGTAAATTATCCTGAATCGTTTGTAATAAATGATTAATAACAAATTAATTTTTAATAACAAAAATGTGAGCGCGTGTTCACAGAAACCAAAAACGAATCACTTGCCGGCTAAACACTAAAAAAAAGATAATATTAATTTTTTTTCTTTTATTTTTATAATACACCCATTATTTTTTTTTTCATTTTTTATATTTTTGAAAATATATAAATTTAATTACACTCTCACTTCATAAGCCACCATTATTATAATATTAAATGGCCTAAATCTCAAATTTATTTATTTTAATATTTTATTTATTAATAACAATATTGAATTTCATAGTCGATGATATAATTAGTTGAACTATGGGAGTCGAGGGGCAAAAATGGAAAGGAGATTGGTTTGATGTAGAGGCAGAAGTGAATGTTGGTGGGGGCAATAAGATAGCACGCTTGAGGCAGGGGCACGTGTCACTGTCGAAAGCGTGTAAGCTCGTTTCTCAATGGCAATATAATACCCACACCCACGTGTCACGGTCACCTGACCCTGCTACGCTGGCATCTCCACGTGTCACGGTCACCCTGACCTTACCCTTGCATCAAATGTGGGCCGTGCGTATAGAAATGATGTATCTGGGCTGTAGCGGGTATGTTTCAGGCCCAGTCTAAACCCTAACCGCAGCTGCAGGGTTCTTGTTGCCATCGTTCGTCTTCGTTTGTTTCCCTCTATGCTGGTTTCGTAACTTGGATTTTGGCGTTAAGAGTTCAGATATGGCTGCTGCTTTTGCTTCGAAATGTTCCCGAGGTATGCGATTTTCTGAAATAGTGGATACTGGAACTTCTTTTGTTCTTTGATTCGGAGATGCTAATGCTATAAGATTTGTAGCCTATTCTTTTAGTATTTTTCCGACTTGAACCTTGATTTGAGCTGATTCAGCTTAGGAAATGCTGGTTTTTCTGTTTCTTTCTGACTGCTAGCAAAACAATTCTAATTTCGTGTTGCTCATCTTATATATTTTCTCCTGTTTTAATGTTACTGATCATATAGCACCGTGGAGTTGAAGTGGCATTTATACATTGGTTTTTTATGCATTTTGTTAAGAAACTAGTTTGAATACTTCTTAAACTAGTTTGAGTGTTTTTTTTTCTTACCTACTTGATAGTTTGTGCACACGATGATGTAAAATTTATCTCAACTTTGATATTTCGATATTTTACTTGTCTTATTTTGGTTTGTATTTCTAGTTGTTGTGAAACTCATTTTGGCATATTGTTTCGTGCTCAATGATTCTGGAAAATTAAACTAGTCGGCCGTTCATTGTTGGGTGGACTCGGAAAAAATTTGTCTGGTTCATTGACCGCATCGAATGAGACAGTATGCAGCAGTTTCATCTCGCAGGTCTGGTTCTCTGAAATTTTAATCACTCATCTGAATTTCAACCCTAAAATGATAGTTGAAGGAAAAAAAAAATGTATGGTAGATTCATATGCATGAACACGGAGGGTAAGGAAACAGAGGATTACAAAGTTACATGCATCTAACACTATTTATACAAAGATTACTGTGCAAGGGATAGTATGGCTAAAATAGGTATTTAGAAACACAGCATTCTTGCAGATTATCTAGAGAAGTTGGTTATGAGGCTAGTATGGATAATTTGGGTATAGTTCAAGATCTAGCTGTTTGCAAATATTTTCCTGGATTGAAGCGATAGAAACTCGGTGTTCATAAACTGAATTTGTGCTTTGCTTCTTAAATTCGATGGTTTTTATTTTTTGCACATCGACATATAATCATTAATATCTCGAAGTGCTACTGAAATGAAGGAAGTGCTGATATATAGTTTTAAGAGGAATAAAATAGTTTGAAAAGATACATTGAAATTTTAAAGTCATTGCAAGTAGCAAAAAATGCTGATGAAAATCGATACACTACTATCAACATTTGATCCTACCTTGTGTATTGTTATCTTTTGCAGCAACAAAGAACTTTCATACAGATGAGAACTGTGCTAAAAGTAGTGGACAATTCAGGGGCAAAAAAGGTGATGTGCATACAAGCATTGAAAGGAAAGAAAGGAGCACGACTAGGAGACACTATAGTCGCATCAGTGAAGGAAGCCCATCCTAATGGAAAAGTAAAGAAAGGAAAGGTTGTATATGGTGTAGTTGTGCGAGCGGCAATGCAAAAAGGTCGTTGTGATGGGAGTGAGGTCAAGTTTGATGATAATGCTGTTGTACTTGTGGATAAGCAAGGTCAACCTATTGGAACTAGAGTGTTTGGCCCAGTCCCTCACGAACTGAGGAAGAAAAAACACGTAAAGATTCTTACTTTGGCCGAGCACATTGCCTGAAACCAATTAATCAGATTGGAGCCGAGGCTCGTAACTTCTTGACGATGCGCCCAAATGTGTACCCCATTGGAATTTATTGGAAGAAGAAAAGGAGTACGCAAAAAACATATGATAAATTGTGTTTGGCAAATAATAACAGGAAAGCTGTTGCAGTTGCTACTGGCGTTGCTGTTTCTCAGGTTCTTCCCAACATTCTTCCTCACATCATTGCATGAAAGTTATAGATCGTTCTGTGTTCCAGTTAGGCAGTTACCATATATATTTTGTTTGAATTTTAACAAACTATGATGTGATCGGTTAGTTTTCGAACCTGGTTGTTCTAATACTCAAATGCCATGCTGAAAACTGTTGCTGAAAACTTTAAATTTAGGTTGAAGGCAGTCTTTTGTGGATGTGTTTGTCTATCTATAATTTAAGTCGAAAGTCATTTGTTGCTCAAACCCATCATACAGCGGGAATTTGGCCTTGGATGGCAAGAGTAATATCACCATTTGCATTACAATTTCATTATGAACCCCCCGACACTTGATAGCGTAGCTTGGAGTTCATGTGAACTAATATAAATTTCTAGCATCGGTGGATTCCTAGGATCAATGGGATGAAATTGTCCGGATGAAATTATTTGGACAATTTTCATATATCCAATAATATAAAGATCGTACTTTTTCTCTGTATGATTACATCATTTACAATGAACTCGGAAATCGATAGAAATGGTGACATGGACCAATTTTAATCATATGGGGGCCAAGTGAAAAACTAATATATAATATTAAATTATATAATTAGATATATCTTGTATTTCCAATCTTTGATTGAATTTGTGACATTTTATTATTAGTAGAAAAAGGGTTGTTGAATTCGGAATCAAAAACTCCTTGGTATTGTGTGTCTCATATTTGCCCTCCCCCTGGCTACCGTAAATCCACAATTGAATCTTCACATCAGTGGCAATAACGTAAAACAAAACAACAGACTGAATCTTCAGTTGTGATTTGACTGTGCACAAAATTCTCTGTTTTTGGCCGCAACTTAATGAACACCATAAACTCTCAACGCCATGAATGGCCTGAATTGGCCGAGTCAATGTCCTAATTCCAAGGAACCTTTCCCCTCTAAAACCATAAACCAATCAGATCATAACCCACAATTCCGACACAATAAAAAACAAAATCAAATTCCCAGATCTCCAAATCCCCTTGAATGGCCACAATCCCATTTCGATCATGAATCTAACAACACCAACAACAGCAATGGACGACCCTCATAAGCTTCAGAACCTACCCTCTTTCAAACTCTCCCGCTACTCCTCTACAGTCCGAGACTCCGACGCCGGCGATGACCTCCGCTACACCAGCTTGAAGGACATTCTTCTGAACTCCCCGTCCTACAGCGGCGTTAATGAGTTCAACGAGTTCAATTTGTCGAACATTACGATCCGAAACGAGCTCGTGAAAAGGGCCGCGTCGGCGTATCTTCAATCGGCGGCGATCTTGGTCGGCCGAAATGAGAGCTGTTTCGTGGGATTCTGGGAGAGGCTTAGGATCAAACTCGCCGCCCTCCGCTCCCGTTGGTGTGATTGCTTTCCCCGCTTTTTTGGCTTCTTTAGGTTTGTCTTTTAGACTAAGTCTAGACCTCCGCTTTTCAATTCATCTCTTTATTCAGTTTTGGGAATTGGGTTTTTTTTCCTTCCTTCCATTGGAAAGGAGAGAAAAAAAAAAAAAAAAAAAAA